ACACTCTGGTTCCCTACGCCTGAGCATTATTTCATTAACTTGGTGTCATATGAACTGGATTAAAACAAAAACTCCACTGTGCTGTGTTACAAAAATGTACAAACTGACAGCAGATCATGTGTGGGTTTCACACCGATTTCATTTCGTGTTAAAGATTACCATATGTAAGAGTCAACAGGCATAAAGGAGAAAAAAACCATTAACTCCGTGAGCTGGAAGAAGCAAAATATAGCTAATGAATAGTACTTTGTTTCGGCGTGGATCATTGTAGAATGCTTTGGCAAAACTTAAGCGCTAACTATTCACTTCAACCCTTCTGGTGCCTTCAGTGAACGATTTGCAGTTATTAAGAGATTCCCAAACACACCCAGAGGAAAAACAGGTTAAAAGCATGACCACGAAATCATAGAATGTTTAATCTCATTCACTAGTCGAAGGCTAATACGGCACAGCAAGGGGAGGTGGAACTTGCAGGTGGTCTTCCTGCAGCGAGACGACGAGCTGAATCTTGCTCCTACTAAACGCAACCCATCGCCATCACAGACTGCCTTCTCTTTGCATACCGGATAGATCAGGAAGAAACTCCAGCCGAGTGGCTTCGGGAAAGGCCTCTTCGGCTATACCCATGGCAGAGGTTTATGGATTAACACAAGGATCACCTCGGCCTCTAAGGCTGGCGGACCGCTTGTCTGCCACAAGTACGTTACAGTACGGCCAAGCGCCAAAGGGCAAACGTTTACCAGCAGCCTCGCCGCGTTCCCCAGGGCTCGCGGCCCCAGCCCTCACTCTGCCTGGAGACGATCTGCTGCGGTTTCGTCGCAGTGGCGTCCAAGCCCCCACGTCAGACCAGCTTCCCCTGATGGGACGGCCCAGCCGACACGGATCCGTCACGCTGCAGGTAAAAAGGAACAAGTGTGTGGGAGCAGGTATGAATCTGCTGTAATTTTGCAGTGGTTCTGACCACCCCACGTCACATACAGCAATACTTAAAAAAAAAAAAAAGAGCAGGAACTTTACACGAGGCTCAGGTTCAAGCTCCAGCCGGATTCAGAGGCGGCTGCGACACCTGGGCATGCGTCCGGCAGGGAGTTGGAGCGGCGCAGGATGCAGTTTGAGGGCTTAGCGCTGCAGGTCGTAGGAGCTGAAAGGCGGAAAACAAGCTGGGTGTAAAACGTGTTTCATGATCCTTCCCGGTGGGAGGCTCCCCTAGGCTTCCGCGG